TAATAGAAGAGGAGATAACTACTGAGCTAGAATTATTAGGTTTTACCAGGGAGAATAGGGCATTTCATATGTAGGAAAGTGTAGTGTAGTGGTTAAGAACACAGACACACCGGAGTTGGACTGATTTGGTTTGGAACTGGCCCCTTTACTTTGTTGTTGGGGAGGTTACTGGAACTTGATGAAGTGCTTAACTAGTACCAGACACACACTAGACATTCGCAAACTGAAAGCTGCTGCCGCCACTGTTATTCTTACTTATATTATTATTAAAAAATAAGCAAAACCAGAGCAGTATGGAAATATATAATGTTGTTTTCTGAGACTCTTGTAATATGGCTGCAAGTAGGATATATGTGTATTAGGGAGTGGTTTGAACTGTTGGGAAGTACAGTGGAAAAGTAGCATGGTACTTGTGGTTGGTCCTCACCTAGGTCTCCTTTCTTTTTTTTTTTAAATTTTATTTTTATTCTTGGTAGAGACATTGTCTTACTATGTTGCCTAGACTAGTCTCGAACTCCTGAGTTGAAGTAATGCTCCCACCTCGGCCTCCCAAAGTACTGGAATTACAGGTATGAGCCACTGCACCTAGCTTAAGTCCCCTTTAATAGCTGATGTACCCCACCCCCCCAGCCTCCGTGAGTGTTGGCTGCTAATGACTTATAGCTCCCTCTTTCTCCACAGTATTGTCCTCTGCCAAGCAGCTTTCTTGCTTAGGTGGATTTTCTGTATCCCACCCTATAGCCAGTGATTGACAGGTAAGCAGATACCTGTCATGCCTTAATCATTTATCATTGATTAAGGTTGGGGGGTGAGATTTAAGAGTCATTTGTAGGGGTTGGGGAAGAACTGAGAAGTCATAATTTGAATGTGGGAAGAAGGAATAAAAAGCCTTCTAGACTGGATGACTTGGCAAATAGTTGTGTCAATTGGAAAAATAGGACTCATAGGAAGAGGTAGTTTTGGAGAAGGTTAATGAGTTCAGTTTGAATTTAAGTTACCTTGTTGAATGCCATAGATGGAAATGTACAGTAAGTAGGCAGAAATATCTGTCTGCAGTATGGAAGGTGAGGTCAGGTTGACAACATTAAGGTGCAGATTGGACATCCCTAATCTGAAAATTGAAAGTCTGAAATGCTCCAAAATCCAAAACTTTTGAGCAACAACATGATAGTCAAATGAAATGACCACTGGAGCATTTTTGATATTGAATTAGGTATGCTCACCTGGTAAGTATAATGCAGATATTCTAAAATTTTTTTTTAAATCTGAAATTTGAAATGTTTGTCATCTTAAGCATTTAGGATAAGGGATACTTATCTTGTAGTTGTTTAAGTTATGAGAGAGTGTGGGGCCCAAGACAAAACGATGGGAATTCCATTTGATCTGGAACGTTTTCAGCTGCAAGTAACAAAATTGAACAAGCTGCTTTAAGAGTTAAAGGGGATTGACCAGCCAGGCCTGGTGGCTCACACCTGTAATCTCAGCACTTTAGGAGGCTGAGGTGGGAGGATTGCTTGTCCCCAGGAGTTCAAGACCAGCCTGAGCAACATAGGGAGACCCCATCTCTACAAAAATAGTAAATCAGCTGGGCATGGTGGTGTGTGCTTGTTGTCCCAGCTACTTGGGAGGCTGAGGTAGGAGGATTGCCTGAGCCTGGGAGGTCGAGGCTGCGTAAACTCTGATTATGTCACTGTACTCCAGCCTGGACAATAGAGTGAGACCTTGTCTCAAAAAAAGTAAAGGGGATTTATTAGGTTAGTATGTAAAAATCCAGAGGTAGGGCGGGCTTAAGGGTTTTTTGGTGAGGATTCTGACTCCATTTTTCTGTGATTATTTTTGTTCTGCCACCTTCTTGAGTTAGCTTTGTTCTGAATCTTGCTTTCCTCATGGAGGTAAAGTGACTCTAGTGATTGCAAGATTCCATCAGCAAGCTGCATATTCTAGGAGAGAGCATCTATGTTCCTGAATTCCTGGCAGAAGTCCTAAGCTTTGAGCTGATTAATCAGTTTTGAGGTAGGGCATTGTTACCAAGAGAAAGAGATCCCTCTAATTGGTTAAGACCAGTCAGGGGTTATCCATGAAGATGGGTTAGTCCAACCAAAAGGGCATGGCTGCTATACTAGGAGGAGAGGTAGAGTGGATGTTTGCAAAGAAAGCACAAAGTTCACTCTTATCATCTATCATCCATCATAAAGGAAAGAGCCAATGAAAAACAGGAAAATGGTAAGAGAGATTAAAAGAGCGCCTTAGAAAATACCTCAGCCCAGAGTAGAGTTTTGAAGAGTGGAAGGGGTTGTTTTGTTTTGTTTTCTGTTTGTTTTTTGAGATAAGGTCTGGCTCTGTTGCTCAGGCTGGAGTGCAGTGGTGCCCTGGCTGACTGCAGCCTTGAACTCCTGGGCTGAAGTGATTCTCCCACTTCAGCCTCCAGAGTAGCTGGGACTACAGGCATAAATGCAAAGGGTTTTGAAGAAGAAGGACTAAAACAGTATCAATTCAAACAGCCTTTGGATTTAGTGGAGACCACCAGTGACCTTAGGACAATGCCTATAGTCTGGAGGAGTAAGAATCAGATGGTGTGTTGGTGATGAACAAATATATGCCAATGACACAGAAGCAGCAAATCTTCCTTCCTTCCTTCCTTCCTTCCTTCCTTCCTTCCTTCCTTCCTTCCTTCCTTCCTGCCTTCCTGCCTTCCTCCTTCCTCCTTCCTCCTTCCTTCTTTCTTCTTTCCTTTCTTTTCTTTCTTTTCTTTTTTTTTTTTTTTTTTTTTTTGAGACGGAGTCTGGCTCTGTCACCCGGGCTGGAGTGCAGTGGCCGGATCTCAGCTCACTGCAAGCTCCGCCCCCCGGGTTCCCGCCATTCTCCTGCCTCAGCCTCCCGAGTAGCTGGGACTACAGGCGCCCGCCGCCTCGCCCGGCTAGTTTTTTGTATTTTTTTAGTAGAGACGGGGTTTCACCGTGTTCGCCAGGATGGTCTCGATCTCCTGACCTCGTGATCCGCCCGTCTCGGCCTCCCAAAGTGCTGGGATTACAGGCTTGAGCCACCGCGCCCGGCCCCTTCCTTCTTTCTGTCTCTCTCCCTCTCTCCCTCCCTCTCTCCCTCCCTCCCCCCTCCTCCTCCTCTCTCTCTCTCTCTTTCTTTTCCTTTTCTTTTCTCTTCTCTTCCTTTCCTTTCCTTTCCCTTTTCCTTTCCTTTCTTTCCCTTTCCTTCTTTCCTTCCTTCCTTTCCTTCCTTCTTCCTTCCTTCCTTCCTTCCTTTCTTCCTTCTTTCCTTCCTTCCTTCCTTCCTTCCTTTCTTCCTGCCTTCCTTTCTTTCTTTCTTTCTTTCTTTCTTCTTTCTTTCTTTCTTGAAATTAGTAAATAGAAGGTGGCAGTTTAAGGAAGAACTGGATTAAGGGAGATTAAAAAGTAAATTGTAAAAAAAGATTGTGAAAGACTTTCTGCCCTTGTTTGCTGGGTGAAGAGAATGAGTTTATGGTTTCAGTCAGGCAGTCTTGATTTGACCTCTGGCTCCAAAGACAACTTCCTTTATGGCCCTGAGCAAGCTACTCAGTTTTCTCAGTTTCTGATTAATAATGAACATAATAAACATTTCATAGGAAAGCTATAAGGGTTAAGTAAGATAATGTAATTGTGGAAGAGATTTGTCAACTAACCTGTTATACAAATATTAGTTGGTAGTAAGCACATTGCTTATTTAAACCCTATCTTCTCATAAAAGAATGTAAGTTATTTTAGAAATAATAGTATGTAAAGGTATGTAGAGTTGAGAAAGGGGAAAGGCAAGTGGAAGAGGAGAGAGAGAATAAATGAGAATATGAATGAATTAATAAAGCATGACCCCAGTTCAAAACCAGTTATTCCTCTTAGCATCCTATGTAACTGTGCAAAGCCAAAAGCCCTTAGATTTGACATAATTTTTGCTAGCAGTATTTTGTGTGGCCCCAGAGGAGAGACCTCTTGTTGACTTCCATATATGCAGTTTCAGTTCCTTTTGTAATAAAGGAGCACAGTACAGAAAGGTTATTGTTTAGGTTATCAAGATGACTTTTATTTGAAGTTGTTGCAAATAGTAGCAATAGTGATAATGATGTTTAATAGTGATAATAATAAATAAACGTTTGATAGTAGCAGTTGCTGTCATTTTATATATCCCTAAGCTAGTGTATGATTGATTTTAGCTCTGTGTGACTCTAAAAATACTTTTAGCCACATTCTAGTCTAACTAATTCTAAAATTCTTTGATCATACATTCTTATTAGTTAAGTTGGTAGATCTTTTACAGTCATTAAATAGAATTTTATTCTTGTATATTTATTTCTTAGGTAGAACAGTGTCACATCCTGTGCTTCATTTTAAGCAGTCCTGCTGGGTGCAGTGGCTCACGCCTGTAATCCCAGCACTTTGGGAGACCGAGACTGGTGGATCACCTGAGGTCAGGAGTTTGAGACCACCCTGGCCAACATGGTGAATCCCTGTCTCTACTAAAAATACAAAACTTGGCTGGGCGTCGTGGCGGGCGCCTGTAATCCCAACTACTCAGGAGGCTAAGACAGGAGAATCGCTTGAACCCAGGAGGCAGAGGTTGCAGTGAGCCGAGATCATGCCACTGCATTCCAGCCTGGGCAACAAGAGCAAAACTCCGTCTCCAAAAACAAAAAAAGAAAAAAAAGAAAAAAAAAGAGAAGAAAAAAAAACATTTTAAGCAGTCTGATGTTTTTGACTACACAGGGAGAATAACAGTACCTACCTTATATGGTGGTAGTAAAGATGAATGAGCTAAAAACAAAACAAAACAAAACAAAAACCAACTTAGAATGGTGCCAGGCATAGTTGTTAGTAGCTAGCATTATCGTTCTTGTTTTTTTTTTTATCAGTGCTTGATATAAATGAGAAAGTACTAAGTGAATGGGTACTTCATCATAAAAGAGTTGTTGAAAACATGTGGGGATTTAGTTTTGAATAAATTAATAATAATAAGTTTCCTTAACTACAACTCAGATTCAATGCTGGTTTCCATTGTGGGGATGGCACTATACACAGGATACGTCTTCATGCCCCAGCACATCATGGCGATATTGCACTACTTTGAAATTGTACAATGACCAAGATGCGGCAGGATCAGAGGTTCCTTGGGGAAGACCCACCCTACGAAGTTGGAATGAGACCATCAGATGTGATAAGAAACTCTTCTAGATGTCAACATAACCAACCTTATAAAGACTAAAATTCATGAGTAGAACAGGAAAATCATCCTGACTCATGTGTTGTGTTCTTTATTTTTAATTTTCAAAGAGGCTCTTGTATAGCAGTTTTTGTCTATTTTAACATTGTAGTCATTTGTACTTTGATATCAGTATTTTCTTAACCTTTGTGACTGTTTCAATATTACCCCCGTGAAAGCTTTTCTTAATGTGACTTTGAGTACATTTTAATTGCCTTCTATTTTTAAAACTCAAAATCATTAGTTGGGCTTTACTGTTCTTGCTATTGTATGGCATATACATCTGCCTGGATATATTTCTACTCTTGACCAAAGTTTTGTAAGAACAATATAAGATTTCGGGTAGGGGTATGGGGAGGGAAGATATTTTATTGAGAACTACTTACAAAAGATCTGTAAGCTTGAACTCAGGAGTACAGTTTTAGCTATCTAGACTCTAACAGCTTTTGCTTTAAAATTATTAAATTGTTTCTTAATGAAAAAGAAAAGATCTTGCTAAAGTTAAAATAAAGAACGTTTCACCTTTTAAATATTTTATTCTTATGTGGACTTATTTCCACAAAACTTTGGTGATAATTCTTGAGACAAAAGGTGGTTAAGTAGCATTATTATGTAATGCTTATATACCATAGAGTTTTTAATAGAAGAGAAATCCATTTCTTCTGAGGGTCACTATTAACAGTGGACTTCCTTAAATTTAGTTTAATGATTGTAATGGGTGCTGCATTTGCACATTGCATTAAGTTATGATGAGACGAATTGTTGTTAAAAATTATAGCAAAAAGAAATGTAAACTTGGTTAAAATCTTTTCACTCTTTGTATTGTTTTTTTTAAGGTTTTTATTCCTTAAATGTAAAATGACTACCTAATTTTTTGATGTAAATACATTAAATTCAAAGAGAAAAAAATCAGCTGATGTAGCAGTATATCTTTTCCTTAATGGTTAAATATTGATCTAGTATTTACATTTCTGAATTATTTTCTGTGGAGGACCAGATAAGCAGTAAGTATGTTTTATCCTATATGTCTTGCAACATGAAAATGTTGCTAATTTAAAAAAAGTAGGCATTATGTGTGTGTGTTTTTTTTTTTTTTTGAGACGGAGTCTCACCCTGTAGCCCAAGCTGGAGTGCAATAGCATGATCTTGGCTCACTGCAACCTCTGCCTCCTGGGTTCAAGTGATTCTCCTGCCTCAGCCTCCTGAGTAACTGGGATTACAGGCACGCACCACCATGCCTGGCTAATTTTTTGTATCTTTAGTAGAGATGGGGTTTCACTATGTTGGCCAGGATGGTCTTGAACTCCTGACCTCCTGATCCACCTGCCTTGGCCTCCCAAACTGCTGGGATTACAGGCGTAAGCCACCGTGCCCGGCCAAAATTGAGGTATTTTTTGCCCAACATTTTAAGGACTAGACTTTTCAAGTATTTTATAGTCTAGAGGTCTCAAGTAATATATACATGTTTAATATTTTTAGAGTCAATTGATATCACAATTAGGAATAGTGAGAATAATATGTAATTACTTGGTTTGAAGTAGTTAAAACTTGGATATGGTTATATCTGAGCTATGGTCATACTATCTCAAGAAAAATAATATGAGGATTTAACTTAAGATTTGTTCTATTAATGCCCAAATTTGGCTTTCCTCTACTATCCCCCATAGAGAACCACTAACAAGTGGATGTCTAATATTCCTGTGGTGAGTTGAAGGCAGGAAAAGTCGAGAATCATTAGTTTCAATGGGTATCCAGATGACCTATCCTGGCCCTCTACTCAGAAACCTGCAATTTGTCCTCACTCTGCTGAAATTCATTAAATTGCTGTTGTATAACTGATGGTTATTATGAACACTGACCTGTGAGACATACGGAAGATAAAATTTAGTCTTACAGGAAATCTTTAGGAGAGTCAAAAGAGAAATGGGAGCATGTCTCTTGAGAGGTGATCAGGGAAGTTTATGCTCACTGTCTGATGCAAATGTCTAGTCTATTTGTTAGTAAATAACAAACAGGGAAATAATTTTCACTTTTTGTTTAAAATAAGGTATTTACAAGCATACCTTGTAGTTATTGTGGGTTCAGATTCAGACCACTGCAATAAAGTGAATATCTCAATAAAGTGAGTCACATGAAGTTTTTTGGTTTTCCCCTGCATATAAAAGTTACATTTACACCATCCTGTAGTCTATTAAGTGTGCAATAGCGTTATGGCAAAACAAAAACAAAAACAAAAACAAAACCCATATGTACCTATCTTAATTAAAAAATTATCTATTGCTAAAAAAAGCCAATGATTATTTGAGCCTTCAGCAAGTCATAATTTTTTGTTGGTGGAGGGTCTTGCCTTGATGTTGATGGCTGCTGACTGATCTGGGTCATAGTTGCGGAAGATTGGGGTGGCTATGGCAATTTTAAAAAATAAGACAACAATAAAGTTTGCTGCATTGATCGACTCTTCATTCGTGAAAGATTTATCTGTAGCATGTAATGCTATTTGATAGCCTTTCGCCCACAATGGAACTTCCCCCAAAATTGGAATCAATCCTTTCAAACCCTGCTGTTGCTTTATCAACTAAGTTTATAAAATATTCTAAATCCTTCGTTGTAATTTCAACAATGTTCATAGCATCTTCAGCAGGAGTATAGGCCATCTCAAGAAACCACTTTCCTTGCTCATCCATAAAAGGCAAAATCTTGTCTGTTCAAGTTTTATCGTGAGATTGCAGTAATTCAGTCACATTGTCAGGCTCCATTTATAGTTCTCTTGCTATTTTTAGCAACTACAGTTAACTCCCTCACTGAAGTTTTGAACCCCTCCAAGACATCCATGAAAGTTGGAATCAACTTTCCAACTCGTGTTACTGTTGATATTTTGACCTCCTCCCATGAATCATAAATCATCTTAATGGCATCTAGAATGGTGAATCATTTCTGGAAGGTTTTCAGTTGACTGCCTAGGTCCATCAGAGTAATCACTACCTACGGCAGCTATAGCCTTACAAAATGTCTTTCTTAAATAATAAAGACCTCGAAGTCAAAGTAAATCCTTGATCCATGGGCCACAGAATGGACGTTATGTTGGCAGGCATGGAAATGATATTAATCTCTTTGTACATCTCCTTCAGAGCTCTTGGGTGACTAGATGCAGTATTAATGAGCAGTAATATTTTGAAGAGAATCTTCAAAATAGTAGTAGGTCTCAACAGTGGGCTTAAAATATTTAGTAAACCATGTTGTAAATGGTTTTTTACAACACAGATGTGCTGTCACCAGTCTTTATTGTTCCATTAATAGAGCACAGGCAGAGTAGATTTAGCATAATTCTTTTTTTTTTTTTTTTTTCCAAGCCAGAGTCTGTCGCCAGGCTGGAGTGCAGTGGTGCGATCTCGTTTCACTGCAACCTCTGCCTCCCAGGTTCAAGTGATTCTTCTGCCTCAGCCTCTTGACTAACTGGGACTACAGGCACGCACCACTGCACCCAGCTCATTTTTGTATTTTTAGTAGAGATGGGGTTTCACCATGTTGACCAGGATGGTCTCAATCTCTTGACCTCATGGTCCGCCTACCTCAGCCTCCCAAAATGCTGGGATTACAGGCGTGAGCCACCATGCCTGGCCTGATTTAGCATAATTCTTAAGGGCCCTAGGATTTTTGGAATGGTAAATAAACATTAGTTTCAACTTAAAGTTACCAGCTGCACTAACCCCTAACAAGAGTCAGCCTTTGAAGTTTTGAAGCCAGGCATTGACTTCTCCTTCCTAGCTATGTAAATTCTAGAGGGTGTCTTCCAATATAAGGCTGTTTTATCTACAGTGAAAATCTTATTTAGTATAGCCATCTTCATCAATGATATTAGCCATAGCTGCATTATTTGCCACATCTTCTAAATCGGTATTTGCTGCTTCACCTTGCACTTTTATCTTACGAAGATGGCTTCTTTCCTTAAATCTCGCGAACCAACTTATACTAGCTTCAAACTTTTCTTCTGCAGCTACCTCACCTCTCTCAGCCTTTATAGAATTGAAGAGAATTAGGACCTTGCTCTGGATTAGGCTTTAGCTTAAGGGAATATTGTGGCTTGTTTGATGTTTTATCGAGACCATTAAAACTTTATTTTCAGCAATAAGTCTGTAATACTTTCTTACCATTGGTGTGTTCCCAGGATTAGCATTTCTAGCTTTAAAACAATTTATTATTATTTTTCCCTATCTTTCAGCAGCCTGGAACATTTCTAGCTTTTGATTTAAAGTGAGAAATGTGGCAAGGCACAGTGGCTCGTGTCTGTAATCGCAGCACTTTGGGAGGCTGAGGCGGGAGGATTGCTTGAGCCTAGGAGTTAGAGACCAGCCTGGGCAACATGGCATGACCCCGTCTCTACAAAAACTTTTTAAAAAAATTAACCAGGCATGGTGGTGTCACCTGTAGTGACAGCAAGTTGGGAGGCTGAGGTGGGAAGGTCGCCTGAGCCTGGGAAGTCGAGGCTGCAGTCAGCTATGATCGCACCACTGCACTCCTGCCTGGCGACAGTGAGACCCCATCTCAAAAAATGATAAATAGATGCGTGACTCTTATTTTTCACATGAGCATTTAGAGGCCATTGTAGGGTTATTAACTAGTCTAATTTCAATAGCGTTACGTCTCGGAATGAGGAGGCCTGAGGAGAGGGAGAGAGACAGAAGAACTGCTGGTCAGTGGAGCAGGCAGAACATACACAACATTTATCAATTAAGTTCACCTGTTATATAGGGATGGCTTGTTGCACCCCAAAATAGTAGCATCACAGATCACCATAAAGGATATAATAATAGTGAAAAAGTTTGAAATGTTGCAGGAATTACCAAAATGTGGCACAGAGATATGAAGTGAGCACTCGAGGCTGGAAAAATGGTGCCATAGACTTGCAGGGTCGATTGGAAGAGTTGCTACAAACCTTCATCTTGTAAAAAATGCCATGTCTGTGAAGCACAACAAAGTGATGTGCAATAAAACGAGGTATGGCTAATTAGATAATTCTCCATGGACCACTAGTGTTTCTGTATATCTTATAAGCAGATGTACTGACTGCATTATTTTTCAAGGATGTTTATATGATAGAGAAGATAGAGACAGTATCTCCCTCCAAAATGAAGGGCAGGTATATTTAGAGCCTTGGAAGATAAAGGATGTTTCTTTCTGGACCAAAGGGCATTATAAAAGCTTTAGGTTCCCTATGCTCAGGGTTCCTTTCCTGTAATGCAACCATCTGCATGTACAGGTATCACCTGGTCTTTGCATTGCCCTGTGGAAACTGGGGTTTGGGAACCAGAACAAGAAAATGTTGATATTTTGACTATTTCTGTGAGTAATAAAGTTCTTTGTCTCTAACCCTGAATCTCATGTCTTCTGCTAACATCTACAAAACTGTCAGACTAGCTTGCAAGTAGAGTAGAATTTCAGACTCTTCATAGTTTTTGACAGTTTAGGTGATGAGGATGGGATGTTGGCAGATGTGGTCTTCTGGAAGAGGAGGGATAATGGACCCACAAACTAGGTTTGAAGATGAGACAACTTGAATCAAGAGGTAAATACATTTGCCCAAGTATTGGGTGAGTTAAGAGAATAACGATTCCCCAATATCCTACTTGTTAATTAATAGTTAGGGGCTGTACAGTGAGAAGTAGAATGCAAACAGCTGTCTAAATGGTGCCTCAGTTGTTACTCTCCTCTGGGCAGATAGAAAAAGGGATCTTATGACAATGGGACAACAGGTGCCATGGTCTTGGACTAGGTGCAATGGTAGCTATGGCTACTAAGCTAAGCTTGGGTGGTCCAAAACCTCAGAAGCTCATTTAGATGAGCCATGAGTGAGGGCCACTTGAAATTGAATGCAACGCCTCAATTTTCTCAAAAAAAAAAAGCTGCTCTTCTTCTGTACGCTTGATCTTTCCTTTGCCTCCTACCCTAACTTAAGAGTGAGACCTGGCCATGTGCAATAGCTCATGCCTATAATCCCCACACTTAGGGAGGCGGAGGTGGGCGGATCACTTGAGTTCAGAGTGAGAAACCAGTCTGAACAATGTGATAAAATCCCGTCTCTACAAAAAATACAAAAATTAGCCAAGCATGGTGGTGCACACATGTAGTCCCAGTTATTGAGAGGCTAAGGTGGGAGGATTGCTTGAGCCCAGGAGGTTGAGGTTGCAGTGAGCAGTCTTTGCACTGCTGCACTCCAGCCTGGGTGACAAAGCAAGACCCTGTCTCAAAAAAAAAAAAAAAAAAAAAAAGAAAACAAAAAAAGAAAAAAGATCCAGTATGCACTTATGCACTGCTTGAATGTGCTGGGGAACTGTGGAGGAAATATTTCAAACTTTGTGTGCTGTTACATAAAACTACTCAAGGCACTAGTAGTCTTTGCAGCCGCTTGGGAAGAAGGGGCACCTTAATTCAACTGATGGGATTTGGGCAATTTTTGCAGTGAAGAGAAATTAAGTGACCCTGTTGCATGTGGCCCTTTGGGTCTGTTTAGTGTTCTGTTGTAGCTTCCACTGATGAATGTATAATTGGTATTAATGTTTTACATGATTGTAATTTGAATGCTTATAAGTGCCCGAGGTGATTCTACTGATTGGGAAGAGATGTTGTATTAGTCTGTTTTCATGCTGCGGATAAAGACATACCTGAGGCTGGGAAATTTACAAAAAAAAGAGATTTAATTGGACTTACACGTGGCTGGAGAGGCCTCACAATCATGGCAGAAGGTGAAAGGCACGTTTCACATGGTGGCAGACAAGAGAAGAAAGCTTGTGCAGAGAAACTCCCCCTTATATAATCATCAGATCTCATGAGACTTATTCACTATCATGAGAACAGCACAGGAAAGACCTGCCCCCGTGATTCAGTTACGTCCCACTGGGTCCCTCCTGCTACATGTGGGAATTCAAGATGAGATTTTGGTGTGGACAGAGCCAAACCATATCATTCTGCCGCTGGCCTCTCTCAAATCTCATGTCCTCACATTTCAAAACCAGTCATGCCTTCCCAACAGACCCCCAAAGATTTAACTCATTTCAGCATTAACTCAAAAGTCCACAGTCCAAAGTCTCATCTGAGACAAGGCAAGTCCCTTCTGCCTATGAGCCTGTAA